TGAGGGATTAGACTGAACGCCTCTAAGCCTGAATTCCATCCAGATTTGCAATGATATTCTTTTTGCCCGTTGCGTAATCAGGCAGCACTACGTTTACACAATACGGCTGTTGCATGAACTGGTCCATGTGTCGGGTCAGGCGCAGTTGGTCTGAGTTTGAATAATCAACTCAGAGCGGATGTCCAAAACCATGCCTCGGACTTTGAGGTATGGAGGACGTTGAATACTTGATATCTAATTTTGGTATGGGTGTGCGGGCAGTAAATCGTCTGTAGACGACTTAATATTTTGTCGGGGAGGAGTAAGCATTCGAGCAGTTTTCATACTACAAGATGTTGAGTCCTAGCCCTTTTCGACGTAATGATTTAAAGCCATAACATCGCCTCTATCATGTACTCTTCTACCTCTTCTGTATGGTGTAGTAGACAGTATGCCGGCCTATCTGCGCCTGCATGTAAACGAAATCTCTATTTGTAGAGACGTGAGGCACTATGGAATTAATGGGATTGCATGTTAACGCATTTACTACCCCAAGATAAGTAATGAATAAGGGTATATAAACGGGACATAGAGAAGAAAAGAGTGTGGAAATGTATAGGAAGAGTAAAATGTGAATAGATTAAAAGTCGGCTAGAGAAAAGAAAAAAATGCAGAAAAAGGAAAAAGGTGGAAGAGGTACGAGAAAAGAAAGATGAAAAGAATTAGGAGAATAAAAAAATAACAGATGAGATGAGATATGAAAAAATATGATCATATGAGAAGAAAAGAGTCGATATAAGATGAACTGAGAGGAAAGGAAAAGAGATGAGAAGAGATGAGAAGAAAAGAGAAGGGGTGAGCTGAGAATAGATGTGATGAGATGAGATTATGTGCGATGAGATAAAAGAGATTAGATGGGTTGAGATGATATAAGAATAGAGAGTTGGGATGAGGTAAGTATATATGATGTTACATGAGGTGAGATTAACTAAAATTACAATAGATGAGGTAAGGTGCGAAGAGATTAAATGAGATGAGAAGAGTTGAGATAATGTGATATATAGTGAGCTAAGATGAGAATTAAAAAAGAGAAATATATAGGGAAATTATGTAATGTAGTCGAATGTTGAAGGAAAAATACGATGCAAAATTGACGATATTAACAAAGAATGTGATATAAGAAAAGGCTAGGAGTTCCATGAAATTCAAAATGCCCCGTGACCGAAAGATAGTTGAAGATATGTGGCCGAATAGCTAGCGTGTCGAGCTCATATGGTACACTTTCACGCTTCGGCTCTCACTAGGGGTGTTTATAAGGCATATGCGAATTCGAAGTTGATGAACACATAATGGATGAGAAGTATTTTGTAATAGCAAGGCTCTGTGAAATTCATAGGAAACGTTAGCTATACTCATTGCATTATGAAAAAATTGTACTAAAATCGTCCAAATAGGGTGAATACATCTTATAGAAATTAAATAAGTCTAAAGTAGTTAATATATGATTATTTAAGAGTAGATAAGTTGAAATAAGAAGCGATGAGATGAGTTGCGAGGAAATTAGATAAGAAGAGATGAGATTGAACGAAATTGGATGATAAGATCAGATGAATTGTGATAGGAATATTTGAGTTTAGATGAGATAAGTTGATATAATAATAATGCAATGAAATGGGATGAAACGAAATTAGATGAGATTAGTTGAGATGAGTTTGGATGAGTTTGGATGAGTTAAGCAAAGAGTATAAGAGATGATATAGGGTTTAGATTAAATGAGATTAGAGGATATGAGAGAAGAACAGATGAGAAGTGATATGATGAGTGGAAATGAAATGCGATTCGATGAGAGTACATGAGTTGATATGAGATGAGAAGAGGTGAGATTAGAGGTAATTATATGGGATGTGAAGAGATGAGATGATTTGTGGGTAGATGAAATGAG